GCGACGTAAACAGAGGCGGAGGAGAGAGCAGTCTCGAGAAGTTTAGTTCATTTTACTTAATCAAGATGGATTGGTTTAGGAGAATGTTTGGTTTTCCTGACAGAAGGTATGGTGGTAGTTAGTTCTTTGTGGCTGTTAGTGCTTATTATCCGATTTTGTTTTATATTTTAAGAGTCAGTATTTCCTTCGGGTTGAAGGGATGACGTAATCTTAAAGAATGTAAGAAAGTGAGAAAAGAAAAACAAATGGTTTATCAGCTGAGGGACAGCAAGTTCAAATGGATCATCATGGTTGCAATTACGAATGAAATTTTATTTGATACAATGAATTATCAAACTTATGCTACAGATAAGAGGTCAACTCAAGTGGTCTTGTGTACGTACAGGTCTGGCCATAAGCGCGACTGTCTGGGCCGAATCTTGTGCCCATGTTGCTCAAAGGAGAAGTGCAATGCGCAGTGTTATTCAAATGAGAGGCATGTGCGGTGTATTATGGCGGTTCTTTTCGCAGTTGAAATACTACATCTGGGTGGGCACTCCGATACAAATCAGATCCCAGACGAAGATAAAGCCAGTTGAACTGCGCCTTAAGTCATTGAATATTACATTCACTTTTATTGGTCAATATGGATAATAGGGTAGTGGTTTGCTTTTGAAACAATTTTGTTTTTCTACAGGAAATTCACTGACCTCAGTGATTCTGGGGGATGGTTCTTGTGCAGATTATTTGTTGAGATTTGATCTTCTCTGTTCCTTTATGCATAACACCTTTGGTAGGCATTTGCACAAGGTTTGCTGTAGAAGAACTTTGTCTTGATTTGTATCGTTTTATCATTTCATTTAAGTTTTATTACCCATTGTCCCATTCGGGCATTGTTTCCAATCATTTTGTTTTTAGAATTGATGTGAAAACTATTATTCACTGAGTGATTTTTATATTTCACATAGTGATACAAGTGATATTACTTTTTTCAAACATCCACACTGTAATAGGTATGAATCTGTTGTTATTTTCCATCATGAATTATATAAATAGAAGTATTGCTAATGTTTATGAAGTGAACGCATCCCTCTGAGATTAAAGATGTGTTTCAACTGGTCTTGTATACATCAAGGACCTGATTTGTGTCCGAGTGCCCAGCCAGGCTTAGTGTTTCAACTGCGAAAAGCACCGTCATATTAGACCACACATGCCTCTCGCTTGAATAACACCGGGCATTGTACTTCTCATTTAAGTAACATGGAGCACAAGGACTTATTCCCTGTTTCACTATAGTTTCGTGTATCATGGCGCATATGTTTTGAAGAAACAAGCACGGAAACCTATTTATCAGATTCAAAATTATTAACACTGGTTTGACAGGCAGTTGACGTGAGTGTAGATTCTCAGTTTCAAATTAGCTATTTCTTGTTTATTTGTTTTTGGTAATAAAAAACAAATTTTGTGGTTATTAACTTTCAAATGTTTTGCATAACAGCTCTAATATAACTTTTGTTGACTTTATAGATATTGATAGTTTCTTTAAGCAAATTACAAACAATAATTTTAAATTGCACCCTGGAAAGCCTGGAGATACGCAAGGAAAAAGAATGGTCTGAGTCATTTTATTGCTGGTTCCCTTTAGCCCCCAGATTTCGTACTAAAGTGACTGATTCTGCCCAGATAGCCATGCTTACGGCCAGACGTGTGTGTTCATAAGACCAGTTGAACTGCACCCTAAGTCACTATTGCTCCAACCATACCACAAACATTGTGGTATGAAATGAAAACCCTTTTAACCAGGGAGATTCACCCCCAGAACCCTATCTGATCGCCTTATTTCAGTATTGGGTGTACTACTCCCGGACCCCCAAGCAACAGCAGTGGCCTTACTCTCTGTACTGCATTTGTTATGACATATTTTCTTAATTTTGGATGTTATTTTTTGCCAGTGCAGATTATTTCCTGTATTAGTAAGTTTAGTTTTCTGCTTTGATTATTATAGTATCATTACAATGTCCTGTAAATGTATTCTAAAATATTATCTGTTGCACAAGTTTCTTATTATCAACTTGCAAAAGTAATTCCATATATGAAGTGTTTTATCTTCAGTAATTCCATCTACTACAAATTTCATCTTGTACTACATGGTGCAGTTTGAAACTGAAACCAAACCATTTATTCTTATGGTAAAGCTTTTTAGCAGTGGTATTTAGAAAGTGGTATTTAGAAATAACTTTTTGCATTTTCATGGAAATAAAGATATTATTTTATTGTGAGTGCTTGCTTCCTGACAAGAATTTTAGATTTTCGTTTTTGGTTATTAAAGTAATTGCTGTGTGGAATAAAAGTGGGGTTAAATCAGGTCTATGTTCATATGAAGGGTAGCAAGCATAAGGGATAAGGGGGACAATGTGGGAAGTGAGGAGGAGAAAGCTGCTGTTCATGTTGAAATTAGGCAGCAGCTTGATTAAGGAAGATTCCACCAGTCTGCCGGCATGGACATCAGTGGAAGAGAATACAATGATCGCAGTTGACCAATCCATGTGATGGTCAGTCTCACAAGAACTCACAAGCAGATGCAAAAACTCCCACTAGCATGCACCAAGCCCCCCCCCCCACACACAGATATAACAGACATCAAATGAAATACATGTTACTCATTTTATTGATTGCTATTTTTTTCCAGAAGCTATCCAGATGACAATCCATTTAGAAATCCTACTTGGGAAGAGATTATGGGGAACAGAGACAGGTAAAAAAAATATATATATAATGAGTAAGATAAAAAGATATCAAGAAACTGTAACATTTTAAAACTGTAACTTATTTTGAAATTGTTATTTTTAAAACACATGTAGAAGTATCATACATTAAAACCATTACAAGTAGGCTATGTATTATGAAATATGTTGTTATGGTGCAGTTTGATGTATAAATCTGCTAGATATCCATTTTAAAATGCTTGTTATGTAAATATTACATTTAATGCCATATGTGTTCTTTAGAGTTTTTAAAGTAATTTACAACTCGTACAGAATGGAGCCGCCTCACATGCACCGGCCTGGGGTTTATGATGACTTCTTTGGACCTGGGGGACCTGAGGATCACTTCACTTCAGTCTTTGGTCAAATGGACAGCATGTTTCAGCAGCTAGATGCTATGATGCAAGGCCTGCAACAGCACCCTGGACATTTCGTGATTACAGAGGAGCCAGGTAGGAGAAAATGAAGAAGGATGTGAGATGAAGTGAGTGAGAGGGATCAGCATTGCAGAAGGAGAAAGTTAGGGAAAGATAGAGAAATGAAGATGGAAAAGAAAACTTTGGATTTGGAAAATGCTACAGATGTTTGGATAACTGTTGAAGGTCTTTGTGAGTGATTAATGTTTGATTTTTGTCTTAATAAGTTTAGCATGTAATGATTATTTAGTGAAAAGACAGAGATATTAGTACAATGAAAAGCTTCAATATATATTTGTGTAAATTATATTTATTTTATTAATATATATATATATGATATGTCTTTACAAAGTAAGCACTCTATACCAACACCTCAGAATTGTAAGCATTATGTGTAAAGATCAGTCTTTAATGCTAGAATTCTAATATTCATTAAAGAAAATTACCTTAGCAACAAGAACCCTAATGAACTTGGCACACATTTTGTAAATTCTTGATTAGTATAAAACCCCTGGAAGCAGACTGAATCATGCAATGGGCTGAGTGTGGCGTCAGCTGCTTAAGCCCTTCCCGCAGGGTGGCATGTACGTACATGCCATGGCTGTTGTGGACCAAGTAGTGGGTGGCATTGCATCACAGCCATTCCCCCACTGTTGGCTCAGTGGATGGAGCTTGTTTTTTCCAATAATAGTGGCATCATTTGTAGGGTGAAACTTTTAGGCAGTAGTACCTTAAGTGCAGGTAAACCTTCACATTTTTATTATTTTTGAGAATGATATCAATATATCAGCTTTTATGTGCCAAATGTTGCCTGCAAAACACAGGGAAAACAAGGGAAACTATTGATGCATGCCAACAACCCTGCGTTCATGGCCCATTTACCAAATTTTTAACCCAAGGGTAATGGGTTAAAGGTAAAATTAGAAGTATAAGAGATATAGGATTAACCTGCTCTCTATGCTTTTGGCTGCAATGTGACAAATTGTTTAAGTACTGTGGCTAAAATTAGGCTTTATGCCTACCTTTGAGGGACACTTTCTCCAAACAAGTAGATGATTGTTTTGCCCACACAATTGAGAACAAGCTCAACTGTGCATGATATGACATCTTTCTACTGTGAGGGGATAATCTGCTTCTTTTTTTTCCCTTCCTTCCTTCCTTTCTTTCTTTCTTTTCTTTTTAGTCAAGTAGAGAGATAAAGTAGAACATACACTTAACATTCTATTACAGAGACTGATGTTTAATAAAAAAATAAACATCATTTGTATTTTTTTATTATTATAAACATCTTCATTTTGTAGTTTTTTTTTTTTTTAATACCACACATACTTCTGCTGATTGTGCATATTTTTCACCAAGGAATCAATTTACAAAGTCATATATTTCACTTAGACTTATTATTCTGTTAAAGATTTTGAAATGGAGTTAAAGCTATTTATGTATGTTTCCTTTCAGAAAATCCATCAGAAAAGCTAGCACCTCGAGATTTCATGCTAAAGGCACCCGACAGTGATTTGGCAGAGGAACCAGGTCTTCCTCAGGACAGGTGTGTTAGTCCTTTCACTATTCTTATGAGTGTGTAGTTTTGTTCATGGTTTTATTTTGTGGAATAGTAAGTGTACAATTGTTAGATATACCCTCAGAGGTGTGCATACTTTATCTCACTTTGTGGAGGCATTTTTGTTTATTGAAGATATACCAAAAAGAGATTTATTTTCCAACAGACCTTTAGAAGGGGAGTCGCATGAAGGACATCAGCACTGGGGTCCCCATGGTTTCAGCGGTGGCTTTGGAGGCTTCGGAGGCTTTCATGGGGGCATACATGGAGGCTTGAACGATCCATTTCACATGATGGAGGAATTTTTCCACAACTTTGGAAGACATTTTGGAGGGCCATCCTTTGAAGGACCGCATGGTGGTGGTACGTCTTTTTTTATGGACTTTGAAATAAATGCTAATAATAATGAAATATGTGAATAGCCTATTTAAATATATAGAACAAAGTTTTAAGTATTAAAATGAATTAGGATGGGGGCTTGAAAATCAAATATTAAGATATTATCAATGGCAGGTCCTCCAATGCTACCAGGGCCGGGCATGGATCATTCTGACAGCAATAGGGATTCAGTGCTAAAGGAAGATTCAGATCTAGATGACAGGTGAGTCAAAGTGAAATGCAGATACTTGTTAGTTTCATTTCTTGATTATTTGTATTTTTAAAAATAATTTTCCAGTTTATAAATCATGTTTTAGACATGAGAGAACTGTATTTCTTTATACTGACACATTGATCTGAGAAAAGCAAGTACATACCTGCCATATTGCTTATGATCTTGATATATTAATTTTGTCAACTAGTCACCAAGGAGTCAACTATAAGCCCTACCTACCATGTCAGTTCACCTTTTCTTTGATTTTGGGAAATATTCTTTTTTGATTTTTATTGTTTGTCTAATTGCTTTGCTGTTAACCTTATGGTAATCATAATGTCATTAATAGTAATAACAGTATCAATACTAGAAAAAGACATGGGGCTCACTCCTTGATTGTATGCCCCAAAGACTCAAGTACGAGGCCTAGTACTAGTAATATCATGGGGGAGATATTTTGAATATGAAACACAGATGAAACATGAAATATACTCTTTATTCAATTTAAATGTCAATTTCGAAATCACTATCTTATTTCCCTTTCTGATTAGATGCCCCCATCCGAATTGGATGCCTGGGGCTATCCCCCCTTGGCCCCTCCCTCTGCACACCACTGCCTATCTCACCTGTTAAATGTTTTCCTTGAAATATTTTGTTTATTACATATTGCTATTAGTATTGTTAATAATATAATAAAAATCATAATGTCAATAATCATGAAACATCATCAATATTGATAGCATTAGAAAAAGAAAAGTGTAAAGACTTTTCACAGCAAAACTACCTTAAGCATAACAATTACCTGGCAGCATATATAAAACGGGCAGTTGTATATGTTTTTCAAATGTTTAAAAAATATGTTATTGATTAAAGACCTATACATTTTAAAGTTTCTTGTGATATTAGCATTTAATTTATTTATTTACTTTTTCAACTTGTTTAAAAACTAAGGAATCATAAATATCTAGTGATATTCACTCTTTTAATTTTTTGAGACGTATAATTGATTACTCACTGAACAATTTAATTTCTTGCAGGGTTTCGGGCGGCCTTTCCCAGCTATTAAAAGAAGGACCACAATACGACTCCCTTAACCCACCTGCAGGAAATACACCATTTGGCCCTCCAGATGGCGGGCAGCTTCAGCCTGGGATTCAACGCAGGTTCCATTCGTCCACTATTACCCGAATTCGAAGACCTGACGGGGTAAGCTTCCTGGGCATGGCTCGTTTCTTTGGGGAGCATTTAAAATTTTTCTTTGAAGGTTTATTTATGTTTACTTATCTGAATTTGAAGATCTAATGGGGTAAGCTGCTGTGGTTATTGGCCTCCCTTTTTTTAATTTATTTTTTTATTTTTTAGATATTTTGTTTATGGTCCTAATTATATAATTTGGTTAACTTTTGCCATTTTCCTTAGAATGCTTTTGTTCCAGGAAGTAGGTTTTTGTGTTGATTCAGAAAAAAATCTCATGTGTCATCAGTGCATGGAAATTATGTACTTGTTTTTATTTCATGTGTTGTATAGATGTTAATAATAATTTTCAAAACTTCCCTTTTGTATCTCATATTTTATTATACTCTGAGTCTGTAGGATATTGTTTCTTAGATGGAATAAGTGATGAAAGTTGAATTCATGCTTGGTAATTGCTTACAGCCATATAAAGAGCTCTTGCTTAGGGAATGCACCCCTCTTTAGAAAGACATTTTTTTCTTTCTTCCTTTCTTATTTAGTACACATTCGTATGGAGCATTTCACTTTTTCAGTCTAATTGTTATGGTAAAGTGATGAAAAAATGTACTTTTACTTGGGTAAGTTTTTTTGAATTGGGAAAGTGTGCTAAATTGGTTTAAGATTTGATGGACTATATTCATAACCATAGCCATTATTGATGTTTTTAATGATTCACCTGTAGGTTTCACATAATTTTGCTTGCTATATAAAGGATTAGGAAGACAAAGGAAATGTTTTTATTTGGTAAACAATAGGTCACCATAAAACTACCAGGTAATTATGTATCTTGTCCTCAATCTCTGTGTTTTGGCTTTGGTGTTTCAGGTATATTGGAGACAGGGTAATTTTTAAAGATTTTTCTTCTGAAAAAAGTTTGATGCATATGCTGCCAGAGATGGTACATGTCTTTCTTCTATAGATTGCAATTGCTTATCAATAATCAATAAAAGCATGATTGATATGAAAAGCATTAAAAAAAATCAGTAAAACCTTTTAACAACAGATCTACGTGAGCATAACAAATTCCTGGCAGCAATGGCTTGATTTTGTATTATGTCAAAAGATTTTACAGATTTCTAATGCATTTCGTAGACACACAAAAAAAAGTAATTGATAATGATAAATGATAAGGATAATAATGTGACAGTAAGTGGTGGTGGTGGTGGTTGTGGTTGTGGTGGTGGTGTTGACTGATAAAAAAATAATGATAATGATAATAGTAATGATAATAGTAATGATGATGATGATGATGATGATAGTGATAATGATATTATTATTTTTATTATTATTATTATTAATATTATTTTTATTACTGTTGTTACTCTTATTATTAGCATTGTTATTGTTGTTGTGTTACTCAGATTTATCCCAACTTCTATGAAGGAAATGAAAAGAGAAAACACCAAATAGGAATCTCTTTCTTCCCCACAGTCCATCGAAGAGACGAGAAAATACCGCGACAGCACAGGTCGAGAAGAAGAGGTTGTCACTCACTACCAGCCAGAAACGGAAGCCTCGCCGGGAGGTCTCCTAAAGCCAGGTAAGATAAGCATTCTTGTATAGTACATTTCAAGTGGAAATTTGCACTTTTCATTATATATATATGATTCTTATCTATCTCAAGTGTCAAACTAATCTCATCTGCTTTATTTTCAGGAGAGGGAGGGAGGGATGGACCTGAGGGAGGCCATCACGCTACTCCTGGGCCGTCGATCTTTTCATGGCTCTTCACCCGATAGATATTTTATTGACAGTTATCTCGGTTTTCGCTCTTTAAAACGATATATCTATAGATTTTGAGTGTTCTTCAAAAATTGTCTATTTAACATAGTATATATGAATATGAATCAGCCATTTTTGAATATTGTATGATTGCATGCATGTTTATGCATTCAGAAAACAAAAGTAAAGAAAGTGTAAGCATTTTAATCTTTTATACTTCACTTTTTTCTTCACTTTTCTTGGCATAAAAAAATACAAATAAACTATGAATGTTTATGGAAGAATATATGGGGGTCTGTATAAAGTGATAGAATAGTGGAAAACTACGTTATTTGAGTGTTTGTTTTAAAACATTAGACAGCTTTTTGGATTGCTATAATTTATGTTTATAACAAGAAATATGTGAATATATCAAAATAAGTGTCTGTTGTTTTGAACACATTTTACGTGGATTTAATTAGTTGATTGTTTTCATGCTAATAAGTTTGTATCTATAGTAATAAGATGGGGATGAGTGTAAAAAGAAATATCTTTTATTAATAAAATATAAAACATTTATCATGTCTTTATGTTACTGGAATCAGGGTATATTTTTTTAACTAGAGAAAAATAAATATGAATTATTTTTCTGTTTCAGAATATTGATAAGGCTAGTATTTTGAATATATATTTTCTGAAATTATGGCATGTTTACGTATATATACACCTCATAATGATATTCAGCTTCATATACCTGCATTAAGTCCGGGTCAGAGCACTCAACAGGATTGAACATACATAAATGGACAGTTTTTCCATCATATACAAAATTTTACTGTAGTAGTCTAGCAAATTTTATTCTTAGTGTTATTTTTACTCTCTGCATGCTTCTGATTGACTGGCAGACACTCAATGCAACTTTTTCACTTGAGTATAACTGCAAAGATATTTGAAACAGTGAAGCTCAACTGCTTAGTGTTAAGTACAAGGAAATGAGAAACTAAGAGAGCTAAAGAATTTCTACAGGTGTTAATACTGTACTGTCAGTTGAGTTTTGGTTCTGATGACAAATGTCAAAATGTGGTTAACAAAACTGTTTAACAAAACTGTTTGTATTTGACAGTAGAGGAGAGTGGTGTGCTTGCTTTTTTAGTTACTAACTATTTGGTGAGTAATGATGATTATCATTATTTTTCACTAATTAGGCATATTATAAAATCACATAGATGGCATGATGCTCTCCTATTACTAGCAGGAAAACAAGCTGTCAAGGGTATCCACTCATCCATTAAAGTGTGAACTTCAGGGATTGATGACACACAACTAGATGCCGACCCTAGTCTAAAGTTCTAGATGAGAGGAAGGGGATCCCGATTATGTGCAGCAATTGTAATGTGCCCGTGTGCCAATACGGCAGATTTGAGATGTGATTCTTAATTTTTTTTCTGCTTTTTTCTGTCTTTTCCTTTCTCTTTTCTATCTCTTTTTATTTTTCTTTAATGGTTATTTTCATACTCCCAAAAAAGTAATATTACCATTTCATTTAGTATAATGGGCATTATCATGTGATAAATACTCTGTACTACTATTTCATTCAATTACAACACTGATATAGCCTGTCAGAAGGGAAATACAAGATTCAATATATGGTAAAACACTAAAAAAACAATAAATGCTAAAATGCATTATGAGCAAACAAAAGACGTCAATAGAGGCTGTGACTTGTTGCAGCCACCTACTTGCTCTGAAATCAAATGTTTCAAATGCCGCATGGCTAGCACTAATAAATGTCCGGAGATGATGCGGGCATATCTATTTCTATTTAACAGGTTATGGAAAAGGACATTTATAATCAAAACTTGATTAGAAAGGTTATGGAAATAATTTTTACTATGTCTTTGTTCTAAAGAATATAAAGTATCCAGGATATTTAACTTGTATACTTACCTTGATGATTAGTAACATTTTCTATATCAAATTGATTTACTTCAATAATAATAATAGTAATAATGATAGTGATACTACTACTATTAAGTGTGATAAGGAAAATGATAATGCTAATGATGATGCTAATAATAATGATAATAATGGTAATAATAATGATGAAAGCAGTTAAAATAATAGTAATAACAATGATAATAATAATGATAATGATAATGATGATAATGATAATGATAATAGTAATAGTAATAATAATATAATAATAATATAATATATAATAATAATAATAAAATAATAATAATGATACTTATAGTGGTAATGATAATGGAAATGATACTGATAATATTAATAACAATACTACTACTACTAATAATAATAACAATAATAATAATGATAATAGTAATAATAATAATTATAATAATATTGATAATGATAATGATTACAATAATAATAATGATAATGATAATAACAGTAATAATGATAATGACAATGGTAATGATACCAGTAATGGGAGTGATAATAATAATGATGAAAATAGTAATGATGATAATGCTAATAATAAAATAATAACAATAATGATAATACTATTAATAATAATGATAATAACAATAACAATGATAATAATGATGTTGATACTAATAATTACAATAATGATCATGACAATAATACTAATGATGAAATGATTAAAAGACAAATATAATAAATATAATATAATAATGAAAAAAAAAAAAAAATGACAGTCAACCATCTGTTGACGGAATCGAAATCCCTCAAGTCGAAACCGAACACGTGATCAATACGTCAGTTCATACACCTCCTCCAGCATCATTTGTCTGGCCAGCAAACCACAACCTGGAAGGCGAAAAAGCCTGCCTGGTTATCGGTGATTTAATAGTCGCAGCACCAACTGGGGATACAGCTTGACAGAAGGCGGAGATGTGGAACTTTGGGCTACGAATCAAAATCTCACCCTCCTCCATGACGCCAAGCACAGACCATTTTTCGTAAGTGCTAGATGGAAAAGAGGCTACAACCCTGGTTTACCTCTTGCCTCTTCCAAACTTTTCAACAACTCTGAGAAATCCATTTTGAAAACCAATCCCAAAACACCAACATAAACCAGTGGCAACAGAGATCAAACCTGTTCTAAGACCAGCTGAAAGCAAACCAATACACAGATTTATTTTTCGAAAGGCAGATTGTGAAAAAAAATACAACTGAACTAGATGCCAAAATAATCAGCATTAAACAATGTCCTGAAGATTATGAACATTTCCAAAAACTTGTCTGAAGTGTTGCAACAAAGAACATCCCAAGAGGGAATAGAAAACAATATACCTTATCTCACCAACCAAAGCAAGATGTACCAGGAATACCAACAGGCATATAATGACGATCTGTTCTCTGAAATCACCATGGAACTAGGCGAGTCACATCTCAATGTGATTATCAGAGAAAAAAGGACAGATGGCAGGAACTAATAACCGGAATAGATATGACTCACAATAGTAAAAAGGCCTGGAAAACAATTGGGAACTAAACAGTTGCGTAGCTGCAATTACTCCGGACAAAGTTGCACACCAACTACTATTGAACGGCAAACCCAAAAATAAGGAAAGGGGATACAAAAAGAACATGCAAGTTGAAAAACCGACTATATGAACAATACTGAAGAACAATTCTTCCCATTCTCTACAGAGGGACTAGATGAAGGCATAAAAACCATCAAACTCGGCAAAGCATCTGGATTAGACGGCATTACAGCAGAGATGATACTTAATTTCGGTCTTAAAACTCGTCAGTGGCTCCTTGAGTTGCTGAACACCTGTCTAACAACTATAAAGAACCAAACCAAAAACATGGAAAAAAGCCAACCGTTGTCCGGATGATAGTGTCCCTCCTGAACAATCGGAGGTTCTTTGTAGAGATGAACAGCAAAAAAGAAAAAGAAAAAGGAAAAGAAGGTGGAGGCTGCAAAGGAACAGATTGCCACAGGGATCGGTGTGTTAGCTTCAATGTTACTCAACATCTGCACCACTGACCAGTCGCAATTCAAGAACATCCCCAGATTTATCTATATTGACGATCTTTCAAAAAAAGAAGAAGAAGAAGAAGAAGAAGAAGAAGAAGAAGAAGAAGAAGAAGAAGAAGAAGAAGAAGAAGAAGAAGAAAATCCATGCCATCGAAACCAGCCTCACAGACGCCCTGCAGACTCTACCAACCTACTCCAAACGTTGGTTCCTCGATGCCAACCAAGGAACACCCCGTCTGCAAGTCCCCCTCAACAGCCAAGCAGAGAAGCCTCAAGGTCCCTTGGAAAACAAACCCTTGAGAACACCAAGTATCCTGTATATCTGGGTGTGACTCTGGATAGGACATTGTCTTTTAAAGAGCATACAAGGAAACTCAAAGCAAAAGTTGCAACTCGAAACAGTCTATTAGTGCCGTACGTCTAACCGCAGAAATTGGATATGGCTGCCGTACGCGTAATATTGGCCATTGATGAAATAATTAATGAAATCATGAAAGAAAGAAGGAAAGGAGATAAATATAATATAAATAAAGAGAAGCTGAAGAACGCGTCTCAAGGTGTGACATTATTCCGTAGGTTAGATAATAAATCGAAGACCAATGTACGATGAGTTTAATAGTATTAGAAATAATAGAAGTCGTAGAGAGAGAGAAAAAAAAAAAATGAATAGACAAATAAATACAAGAATAGATGGCTAAATTAGAGAGGAATTACGCATCCCGACCCTCATCTTCCCTCACCGCATCACGCAATCCCCCCCCCCCCCCTTCCCCTCCGCCGGCCCAACGCGGCATCTTAATTAACAATCTTGGCACCGCCTGGCCCGCCTCTGGCACTCCATCTCAGCTCGGTTTTTCCCTTTTCGCTTCTATCAGCATATCAGTCAAGCTATGTATCCATCAGTATGTTACAATAAGTATATACATATATACATACATATGTATGTATGTATGTATCTCTGCATGTATACACACACACACACACACACACACACACACACACACACACACACACACACACACACATATATATATATATATATATATATATATATATATATATATATATATATATATATATATATATATATATATATATATGCATACACACACACACACATAGAATGAGCCCGCGGAAAATATCGAGATATATAACACCAAAGGTGTCAGTGCAGGTCAAGGTGCAGCTGCGTAAGAATGAGAAGATAGAAAGTCAGTTATTTACGTAAGAAAAACCTGTTAACTGATCTTTTAACTCATCAATAGTTAGATAGTTAGTCTCTAATCTATTCCAGGCCTACAAATGGCAGTAAAAAAAAAAGAAGAAAAAACTGACTTGTAGACGATCGACTACATCAAATGTCATTGAATTGAGGGTCATAGAACTTCTGGCATCTCTTGCAGGTTGATAAAAATCAGGTAAAAACTTATAGAGGAAAAGTGAATTATCGGTTACAATCTTGTATAACACTGAAAGAGCCCCAATAACCCTACGATGTCCAGTTTCCAAATATAAGTAAGACAGGAGAAATTTAATGGAATTAACAGAATGATCAAGCAGTCTTAAGTGTGACTCTGCAGCAGATAACCACACAGGAGAACAATAC